GAGAGTGACGCATGCTGCTGCACAGGCTGACGTGTTTCCTGTTACACGTCAGAGCGTTTAGTGTGACTCAACATGCCACAAATACTCACTGTAGAGCACAAGATGCTGATGTCTCCACACTTGAAAATGCACTTTTTACTAAAAAAACAATGATGGATTTGGATAACGGATGGAAACGTGACACATCGGTACTGTTGCTATGGTTATCTGGTTTTAATATGCTCGATGCGCAGATTTAAACATCATGGTCAGCCTGTTCGCTGGTTTCCAGGTTATCATTACATGAAAGTCATCGTCCGAAACGACGTCCCAGTCTTAAAGTCTTGTGTGAGATTAGGTCAAATATGCTGTCTCGTCATTTGTTTGTCATTTTGGAGAGAGATCGAATAAACACCAGAGCTTCAACATGCAGGAGGATCCAGGCTGTGCTTCAACTGAGATCTGAGAGCAGAAATAGGGAAATGCAGAGAGAGCTGCAGTAAGAATGCCCTTTGATTAGTTATAAATAATCACTACCCAGATGATTCACCGCTCTCTGATGCTTCTACCTCAGACGCTCATCAGAGGGCAGATTAGCATCACAAACAGGATCAAAGCAGGCTGTTCAGCATGTGCTGGAGAGGAGTTAATAACAATATCTGATCTTAATCAACGAAAGATGGGAAACATTTGTTTTTAAGGATTCAGATAAAGTGACATTATTGCCTCTCACTTATTACAGTTTCAAAAAAGTCATTATGTCCACTAATTAGTTACACAGCTAATAAAACTGAGTTTTTCACCGTTAACGATCCTCTAACATGTACATTATCGCGTTTAAATGTGAAAAAGTGTTTTTGTTTGGGCCATTTTCTCTGCTTTTTACTGTTGGCAGACAAAAACAGCCTGTTTATTATTCCTTCAACCACCTTCTGAAAAATCCTGACCGTATATGTGGGTGTCAGAGGACTGTGGGACGTGTTTTTAATACCTTTTCTTGCAAACAACAGGCCGGTTGGTTTGTGAGCAGCTGTAGACTGTAGACAGTATGTGGATTTTCACGTATGTGCTGCAAATCCATGTAAAACCTCCAGCTGAGACACATCTTCTAAATGTAAACGTCTTCAAGCAACTTAAAGAAGTCCAGACGCTTTTCTGTGCAAGCTCCTTTGACTACGATGAACCTTCACAGACACTTAGATGAGTGACGAAACGTCCAGATGAACAGAATCAAACTTTGGGGAAACCCAACAAAATCCATAAATAACAATTTGTTCAAAATCGACTCCTAATGTGCAAATGTCTGAAAACACCGGTGAACAGCAGGCGGCATTAAAACTAATTCTGTTGTTTCCATGTACAACTGTTGTGCTTCGTGTGTGACGTGCACCAAGATAACTACTCAACCTTCAGGCAGAAGCGTAGCATATGAATGGCTAAGATTAGCTCCATGTGGGGTAAATCGTTACTGATGTTTGTGTCATGAATTAGTTTATCTGCACTGCCGAGGCTCGGCTCGCTGTCACTGTTGATCTGTGAAAACACAAATATGCGTTTATTTAACACAAATGATGAAAAAGCAAACGACAACAAAGAGAAATAAATACACAGAAGTGTGGCTAATGCCTTACACATACTTGAGTCCTTTATATCTAATAGATCTGAAGAGTTCATCACTGAATAGAAGATTAGATGAAACTTTATTAATCCCTCGGGTCGGTTCCTCCGGGAAATTCAGTTTCCAGTAGCAAAGCACTGGAAGAAGTTGCATGTTGCAGATACATTAAGGGGAATGAGAGTAAGGATATAAGCATAAATACTCCATATATACACATATACACATATATAGATACAGAATATACAATATGGATAAATAGGTTTGCTCATTTGAGTGAGTATATTGCACAGTCGAATATAAGAAAAAAAGACAAAACAAAAACTTTGGGAGAAGCAGGCTGTCGCTGAACAGGCTCCTCTGATTGTTTACGACCGTGTGCAGAGGATGCCCGGCTTTGTTCATAATGTCCATCAGAAGGAAGTAACTCTTCCTGTTTCTGATGTGCTGTCTTTTAACAGATTAAATACAAAGAGAGCGGGATGAAGAGCCTGTCTAAGAGCGCCTACAGTCAGCTACCAGAGACCGCCGAGACGCAGTTTGCCAAAAATGTTGCTGCGCTGCAGAGCGAGGTGAGGGACGGGTGTTTGTGGGAAATGTTTTCAGCAGAAAACGACTTCTTCCTCTTGAAGTAGCAGAAATGAAACATTTTTAACATTTCAGTTTCGTCACAGTTAGAAATACAATTATTCTTCCTCCCAAAGCAGCGTCACAAACTGTGTTAATCACATTAACAGACAACACAGTAAAGAAAAAGTTCAACTCTCAATATCAGTATTATTTTTGTCTGTCCACCTCATGGATTTTTCAAAATAAAAGCCATCTTATATTTTTCCATTTGAAGTCTTTTAATGTGAAACAACAGCAGGATGAACTGTTGCATTAGAAGTGACAGCATGAGCCTAGAAACCACTACAGGAAACACAGATATACAGAGTGTTTATTTGATATTGAACTAACTGACTGATGCAGATTACAGAGATTCAAAAAGTCAGTTTAACTGTAGAAGATGCAAACTGTGAAACTTCATGTTCATGTTTAATGAATTACTGTCAAAGTCTGGTCCTTGAACTGTTATAAAATCAAAAGTGTCATTTCATCAAATTATTTTCAGATGAAGTACAAAAAGGGGAAGAAAGACG